GGTGTTTCCTCCCTGCCAAGAACTAGGAGGGTCACCCACGGGGGTGGCGGGTTGGAAACACGCTGGAGGCAAATCCCCTTCAGGCTCGCTCACCCCTGGAACCCCTGGGCTGGGTCCAGACGGGCAAGGTTTTGCGCAGATACTTTTAATGGAACCATTTTTCTGTTAAAAGTATTTGCGCTCGAGAGCGTCTACACTGGCATGTGCGTTTGCGCAAAAGCATCCGTGCCAGTGTAGACGCTCCCTTGCGCAAGAAAGCTCCGGGGGCCATTTTAGCCATCAGGCTTTCTTGTGCAAGTAATTAACGTTGCCTGTCTGCACTGGCCTCTTGCGCAAGAATACTTGTGCAAAAGGGCTTATCCCTGAGCGGGAGCGTCAGAGTATTTGTGCAAGAACCACTGATTTTGTACGGGACATAGTCAGTGTTCTTGCACGAATACTCGTGGCCAGTGCAGACAGGCAGCAAGATTTTGCACAAAAGTGGCCACTTTTGCGCAAAATCTTGCCAGTCTAGACACAGCCCTTGGCAGGGGCTGTGGAGAAGGCCAAGACTATAACTTGGTTCAGAAAAGAGCAGGATAAAGTCATGGAGGACAGGTCCGTCCATGGGTATTAGCCAAGAAGGTCCGGCTCACAACCCCCATGCTGGGGGGTTCCTACATCTCTGACTGCCAGAAGCAGGGACTGGATGATGGGATAAATTACTTGGTAATTGCTCCATGCTGTTCATTGCCTCTGGGGCACTTGGCATTGGCTACTGTCAAAAGACAGGATACTGGGTTTGCTGGACCTTTGGTTTCACCCAGTTACTTGCCCTCCCCATGCCTCAGTTTCCCATTTGCCCCAGGAGGCAACAGAAGAGCTGCCTGAAGTGCTTCGAGATGTGCTATGTTATTAATGTGACTGTGGAGAAAGGAGGAGTCCACTTTCCAGACAACAAATATCTTTTACAAGCTGTAATGTAGTACTGGGACACTTGTGATGAGAATGCAGCAATCACTGGGAAACATTCTATTCTCACTGGGTGTGTGTTTGTTTTTGGCTCTTTCAGGCTTTGTTTTGGGAGGAGCGTTTGGTGTATTCACAGCAGGCATTGACACCAATGTAGGGTTTGACCCCAAGGATCCCTATCGTACACCAACCGCGAAAGAAGTCCTTAAAGATATGGGGCAAAGAGGGATGTCCTATGCCAAAAATTTTGCCATTGTGGGTGCTATGTTCTCCTGTACTGAATGCCTAGTAGAGTCTGTAAGTAGCCATCTCATTTCTATCAGAAATGCTTTCATTCTTTAGAACCCTTGACCAGGGTTGTCCTTACAGAGATGCAGAATATGCATCAACACAGGGCACCTGAAAACTTGGGGCACCGCTGGCTGTTCACGTCCACCAACCTACCAGTCCCTAGTCTATGGCTCTGCTTTCTGCAGAGAGGAACTAGTTAACTTTAAACAGCGGAAAAGCCTACCAGACCTATTAACAGAACACTGAACCTGTGAAAGAGCTATTCAAGGGGTAATGAAGCCATCTGACAGGCATTTGCTAACCCCAAGTCTGTACTGTCAGTTTCTGAATTGACTTTATCATGAGCTTTTGTGGGCACAGCCCACTTCAGATGTTCAGAGTTATCTGAAGAAGCGGGTTGTGCCCACAAAAGCTCATGATCCCATCTACATGTTTTGTTAGTCTATAAAGTGCTACCAGACAATTTGCTTGCTGTTTTTTTTCTGCAACAGACTAACTCGGCTACCCTCTGAAGCTCCTGAATTGACTCTTAGTCAACAGGAGCATAGTTTAAAACTTGCTTTAAAACTACTTCATGAGTGTGTTGCTGAAGATTGTAAAATCACATCTCTGAACTATTGTCCCCATCTTGACTGCCATCTGGCAGAGGGGCAGCAGTTTAATAGCATTGCGTAAGGCCCCAAAAATTCTACCTTGACCTGTGTGTGTCCTTAACTTGCTCTTGAGCTATCCTAAAGCATCCTTTGGGGATGGAAAAAACTCTAGGCAGAAAATGAAGTACACGAGGTCGGGGTAAGGAACCTATTTTGCCCAGGGGTCATTGACCCACAGAGAAATCAGTTGGGTGCCACCCCACACAAGTAAAAAGCAAAACTTAATCTTCAGCTCCCAAGTGAGAAGCAAAAAAACCCCACTACAGTCGCGTTCAATTTGGGAACGCTGAGATTTGTTCCATTCGGTGCTTGTGCGCCAGTCCCATGGGGAGAGAGGCGTTGAGACTTGGGACTTGCAGCCCATGGCACTGAGATTAGCTGCAAGACCATGTCAAATTAAGCAAGAGCCAGATCTGGCTGTTGGTTGTCAGTGTTTTCCAGAATGATTGCTTAATTATATAATTTGGGGAACCACTCTCTTCATCTCACTACAGAGAATGAAAGGGAAGGTCATTGCAGTCCTCTCAGGGTACACCGGGTAATAAAGCTCATTCCAATTCCAGGGTTGGATAAATCTATGGGTAATTTTGGGGGCTATGTTTTTAAAGCCTAGCCACCCTTTTTAAATAATAAACCCCTCACTATCCCTTGTACCCATAAATATGTGCATCTAAAATATTAGAAGCAAAAAGGAGGTTGGGGTGACAGCCCATGTCCTGGATCTCATTCTGTAGCTAGACTGCTAAGTGACCTTTTGTCTTACTGCTAAAACTCCAAGGCTATGTCTACACTGGCGGCTTCATGCACCAGAAATATGCAAATGAGGCTAAGCGTGGAATATCACTGAGCCTCATGTGCATACCTAATGAGACGCCATTTTTTTCAGAAGAGGCTCTTGCGCCAGAAGGAGCATCTACACTGCCCCTTCTTGCGCAAGAAAAACCCTCTTGCGCAATACCGCTACGCTGATTATTTTCAGGAATAACAGCATTGCGCAAGAGGGTTTTTCTTGCGCAAGAAGGGGCAGTGTAGATGCTCCTTCTGGCGCAAGAGCCTCTTCTGAAAAAAATGGCGTCTCATTAGGTATGCAAATGAGGCTTGGAGATATTCCACGCTTAGCCTCATTTGCATATTACTCACACAAGAAGCCGCGAGTGTAGACATACCCTTGGTGGGAAGCAATTGACTCATGTAGAATTGTCTATATGGCAATAAAACACTTACTTAGAGCTGGCCCTTGTCAGCTGACTCGAGCTTCTGGACCTTTTAAGACATTCAGTCTTGGGCTAGAGCCTAGGGTCTGGGACCCTCTTCCTCTCCTGTCGTTTATAGCCCCATAGCTCAAGTCTTGTAGGCCTGAATCAGCTGACAAAGGCCAGCTACCCTTGTAGTGTAGATATACCCTAAGGCTGTGTCTAGACTGGCAAGTTTTTCCGCAAAATCAGCTGCTTTTGCGGAAAAACTTGCCAGCTGTCTACACTGGCCGCTTGAATTTCCGCAAGAACACTGACTTTCTACTGTAAGAAATCAGTGCTTCTTGCGGAAATACTATGCTGCTCCCGTTCGGGCAAAAGTCCCTTTTGCGCAAAACTTTTGTGCAAAAGGGCCAGTGTAGACAGCTCAGATTTGTTTTCCGCAAAAAAGCCCCGATCGTGAAAATGGTGATAAGGGCTTTTTTGCGGAAAAGCGCGTCTAGATTGGCATGGATGCTTTTCCGCAAAAGCACTTTTTGCGGAAAAGCGTCCATGCCAATCTAGATGTGCTTTTCCACAAGTGCTTTTAACAGAAAACTTTTCCGTTAAAAGCATTTACGGAAAATCATGCCAGTCTAGACGTAGCCCAAGTGTCTCAAGTAATGCTCCCTCTCCCCCTAAGATCTCAGACCATAACTCAGTGTTGCCATCTACTGGAGAGTGATAGGGTTGCCGGATGGTTTACAAAAAATACAGAGCCCTCAAAAAATTGAGCTCCCTCTCCCCCTCCCCCCCCCGCCCCAAAAAAAGAAAAATGGCAGAAGTTGAGCCAAAAAAAAAAGGCACCAGCGCTGAAATGCAGTCATGGCCCCTTTAATTTCTGGGCCACGTTCCCTGCACCCCAGCCAGCACGAGCATGGCCTTCCGCTGGGCGCCTGAGCCGGGCCTTGGGAACAACAGAAAATATCGGACATAAAATGTCCGGTAATCTTGGAATATTTTTACCATATGGAAGATGCAAATACCAGGCTGTCTGGTTCAATACCAGACACCTAACAACCCTAGAGTGAGGGACAGGCATTTTCAGGTGTGAGTCACGGGGACTGGAGGGGTGGTTTTGTTCTCAAACGTTGTTGCTACTAACATGGAGCAGCTAGGCTAGCCGTTCCATGTGCCCTTTCCTACTGTGACTGCACTGCGTTTCTCCATTCCCAGTATCGTGGAAAGTCAGACTGGAAGAACAGCGTTATTAGCGGATGCATCACTGGAGGAGCCATTGGCTTTAGAGGTCAGTAGCACTTCCTTCAAACTGCTTTTGTGCTAATACTGCCTCTGGTCAGATAAGGATGCACTGCAACCTTTTCTAGCCATTCCCAGTGCAGAACACCTCCACATCGTAGTAAGGGACTTGGGCTGGTGCAAAACCAGTTGGAGTAGCTTGAGGTGCCGCATCGGTTTCCCTGATAGCTGGTAGTTTTATAACATTTGCTCCTGGTGTTTGAAAGACCCACGCAGACAGGGAGGGCTGGTTATATAAGAGACTCGGGAACGTGACTGTACACAGACATCGGTCGAATGGAAAAATGAAGCCCTTTCGGGGGCTAGATGGACCTTTGGTCTGACCCAGCATGGTCGTTCTTATGAAGCTCTCTGGGAATTGTGTGCTGGTACACTTGGATTAGACCAAGAATAGTTACTCCAACAGAATTGCACAGGAAATGCCACCACTCATCCGGAGTGAGGCTGGCTAGTTGCCATCAGAATGGGGCTTAGTCCAGCACCAATCACAGCTTAGGGCCTGGACTTTTGGCAGGAACCCCCCACTGTTCCCATAAGAACAGGCAGGGGAGGGGGAGCTGTGGCTGTGCTGAAGCACAAGGTCCTTCCTCCTTTTCCCTTCCTCAAAAGAATCTTCCCCAAGAGCGTTAAGGGAACCAAACAGCTTTCTACAGCCCCAGTTCTTCTAGAGCTCTTAAAACAGCTGCTCCCTCCCCACCCCCACCGCCGCACTGTTCAGCACCATAAGTCACCTGCAGTGCTGAGGAGATCCAAGGGCATCCAGCCAGCTCTTGGCACAGACGTTTCATCAGAGCTGGCGTTACTCATTTGCAGTCCCTCAGAGGCAGAGGACCCATAACAAAGCTCCATTAGTGTAGCAGCAGGCCCAGCCCCTGTGATTCCAAGTACTGCACGTGCCAAATTCCTGGGATGCATCATGCCCCAATCCAATTAAAACGAGAGTGCAAGATTCTCTGCACGGAAAACTCTGCAAGCCTGTGACCTCTTCAAGACCAGGGCCTGCTGCAGCCTATGGGAGAACTGCAGTGCACGTCTAATTCTGTCCCTTTCCCTTTTGCGTTGCAGCTGGCTTAAAAGCGGGGGCCATTGGCTGCGGCGGCTTTGCTGCTTTTTCGGCAGTGATTGATTATTACCTACGGTAACTGCGCAGTTCTCTGGGGAAGTTTCACTTCTGCTCCACTGCCGCTGGTAAGAGTCACTGGACAGACTTCTGGCCTTGGGATCGGTGATCGGAGCAAGCCGGCTGTTGTCTGCTGTGTGTCCTAAGGTCCCTTTCGCCCCTCGCTCTGGCAGGCTGGTTTCATGCCCAGTCGCTGGCATTTCTTGGAAGCGAGTGAGGCTTCTGGACACAACAGGGTCCGTGTAGTTGTCAGGATGGATAAAGTGTCAGTTTCTATGAACTAAGCCTCTTCTCAACCAGAACCTTTGGGGTCCAAAATATGTGGCATGTTTTGCTGGGGTTGAAAGAGGCAAGCCCTTGGAATCTTCCTAAATAAATGCAGCAAGCTGGATTGTCAGTTTGCTGCAAACGTGTTCATAGTAACGGGTTTGCAACTTGCTGCTCTGTTGGGTAGTAACAAGCCCTTGTGGGGGAAAGAATAAGCCAATTCCAGGCATCTCTTACTGTCTCCTGGAGAGTACTTACCCTCTGTACACCTAAATAGGAACCAGTTTGCCCTGCCACATCTTCCAGAGAACCATGTGAAAAGGCAGTTTACCTGTTGGCGTGGTGGCCCTGTTGCTGGCAGCATTTCAGCAGCAGCATACTGTACAGCAAGCCAGTTTAGCTGAGCTGCTCTCACTGGACTCCTCCAGCGAGTGATGATGCTCCTGCTTCTGCTGCTGTTAGAGCAGAAAGGTCCCAAAGTGTCCCGGCTGGAAAGCCATCGCAGTAGAGCGCTGCCAGGAGCGGCCGGTTGATTTGCCAGAACACAAGCCTTTCCCGCCACTGAGCTGCACCAGTTTGGCAAGCTCTGGGATCCTGGCACGAGACCTTCCAGCTGCTCTTGCATGTGCCTTGAGGCCAGAAGTCAGACTGATTTGGGATTTCTAATTAAATCATGCATTGAGTTTCTCAGACCAGGCTAGTTACCTCCATGCTGCCTGTAGGGATGTGAATGGTTAACTGGAGGTCCCTTTACTCCCTCCCTGGTTAAATGGGCTTTCGGGGCCTAGAGGTAGGAGTCACTAGGCCCTTGTAAAGGGCCCCAGGACGTGCAGGGTACGCACACGCTAGCAGGAAACAGAGTGACACCTTTCCAGCTAAGCTGGGCCGGGCTGAGCTGTGGCCGGAAGTGGCCTTTAGCAGGCAGAGGTACTTAAAGCAGTCATGGCCTGGGTCCGCTGCAGGGCGTTCTGGACGCTGAGCGAAGCTGGAGAGGGGTCGTGTTACTGCGGCATGCCGCAGAATGGGGGAGACTCACGCTGCCATTGCCCTCCCCTTGCGTAGGGCAGGGTGCTTGGGGTAAGTGTGTTTAGCTTTCCAAGTGGTGCTGAAAGGGCGGGTCTGCCCTTGCCGCTAGCTGACCCCTCCCTCAAGGCCTTCTCACTAGATTAGCACCCGTGCCAGGGGGCTGCCCCCCCACCTTCCAACAGGCATGGTTAATTGGATGGGCTCAGGCCTGGGTAAGCTGCTGTGTATTTGATTTGCCTTTAGAGAACAGCTCCACTGCCCCCATTCTCTTGAGCAAGCTCCTGGGAGGGTGGGGGGTTTCTAACTTCCCATGTGGGCCCCTTGGTGAGGCCTGGCCCCACCCACTGGCAGGGTTGTTGGCCAGTGCTTCCCAGGAAGGGAGGGGGAGGCGGCTTGCAGAGATGGCCAGAGCAACAGCTCAGAGCAGCCCTGAGGTGTGAAACTGTGGTCAGCAACTGGGCTTTGCAGTGGGACTGGTGAGAGAGCCCTAGCGCCCTGCCTGGCCCCTGCAGTGTGCACGTGGGTCTCAGACCTAGCCCCAGGGGTCTGGGAAAGGTAGCACGTGCTGGACATCCCGGCTCGCTGCACCCATCTACGGCACAGCGCTGCTTTTTGTGCAAACGTCAGGGCTTTGCATTTTATTAACGTGGTTCACATGGTTTTACAGCCATTGAAAGTTTATCATCTACAGAAATTGAAACAAAACACAAACAAAAATAGATCTTAACTTAGTAAAAGTCAAATCTCCATGAACCGTTCTAGTCTACCTGTAGCCACAAGAGTCCGCCCCTCCCACCCCGCTGTACAAAAAAAGAAACACACCCCTGGGATTGCCAGTTTGTCGTGCAGGGGCCTGCTTTCCAGCCCAGTGAATGGGCATGGGGTGGGGGCAGGACATAAGCTCCTTTGGAATGACACCGCAGTGGACAGGCTTAGGTACATAAAACACAGGGATCCATGTGCAGTTGGACGGCTCGCCAGGGTAAAGCGAGACCCCGGTCAGCGTGTCCAGTGCCCTGGCTCTTGCTCTGCCAGCGGGCGTGGGGGTGGGAGTGTGAGCCCTTGAGATTGACAAGGGAAGGCTCCCCCGTACCAGCAGCTGCATTCAGCCCCAGCGCTGGCCTCTGGGACGTGCCTGGTGCTTGCGGCGCATGGAACAGTCTACGGCACTTAAAGGCAGCACTACTGTTACAGGGATATGCTTGGTCTCCCCACAATAAACCAGCTGCCCACTGGCATTTGGCACGGGGGGCCAGGGCAGTGTGGCAGTGAACAGGCTCCCCCTCCACCCCAAGAATGGCGATTCAGGTCAGGGAAGGTTTCCTTGGCAGGGCCCAGCACCTGGCTGCAGGTGGAGGTTGGGCCACTCTCCAACTGGGGGCGCAGTGTCCAAGCCAGCAAGCAAAGCTGGAGCTGGGCCATTCAAGGCTGCCAGCCATGGGGAGCTGCCCCCGGGAGGGTCTGTAGCCAGGCTGGGAGAATGGATCAGTGGAAGAGCTTTAGCTTCCCCCAGGTCAGGCTGATGGAACAAGGCAGGGCCACGTGGCTGAATCCAGCTCCTGTTCGCAGTAGGCTAGGCTTTCCTCTAACCCCCCGCAGGCTCTGGCCCTGGCCTTCCCTTTCAGCCCAAGAGCTGCTTCTCTTGCCCTCCAGCCTGCATGTGGCTGCTTAGCACCGAAGCAGATTCTGGCTCCCTGCCTTCCCTCGTTCTCCCAACGGCAGCACCAAGGAACAGCCTACTGGGGGCTTCTATGAGCAGGCTTGCCGGGGTGGAGGGGGACGGTGCCAAGGGCTAAGGCAGTGGTAGTGACGAGGTACCAACCTCCCGGCCGTCACTTCCCTCCCGCTGCAGTTCCTCCAGCGGGGTCTCCTGCTTCACCCTCAGCTGCAGCCCCAGAGGTGGGGAAGTAGGGACAGCCCAAGGGAACAGCCCTTCCCCCCACAGCAGCCTGCTAAGAACCTCTCCGGCCCACCCTTGGCGGCAGGCGACACAGCAGGGGGCAACCATGGGGCACATGACAAACAGGCAGAAAGCACAGGCCAAGGGCTGAGAGGACGAAGCGGTAAAGCACCTGGAACAGAGGTTTAAAGGCCCCTTCCTCCCACACAGGCACGCGCCTGTGGCCAAAGGTTTGCTCCAAGAGGGAGCAGAGTCCAGCGGTCACACGGTCCGCAAGGCAAAGGAGCTTGTCTTGATGGGCAGAAAGGGGGGAGCCCTTGGTCCTTTCTCAGCCCCTGAAGCGGGAGGCCGGCCAAGGTTGCACATGCGGGCCTGGGGATGGGGCCAAACACGCGGGCGCCCAGCGGGGGGACAGGGATGCTCGGCGGAAGCTGCAGAGGGCAAAAGGAGAGTTTGTGACGGCCTTCGAAGGAGCCGAGCCTGGCAGGAAACGGAGGAAGCGAGGTCACTACCTCTTCTGTCGAACAAATATACAGAGAACAAACCTGACCACGAAGGTACGCAAGACACGACTACTAGACAGAGGGCGTGCAGGGCCTGGCCCGGGCTGGAGGCTTGTACAAAACTGGACCAAAGATGCAGAGGGCACAGTCCTGGGAGGTTCCCCCATGTCCCCGCTGGAGCGGGTCTAGTCTCTGCTCCCCCTCGGGGAGGCTGGAAGTGTGGCTGGTGCCTTCTCAGCGCAGGCTACACGTCTGTGGAGAAGTAGAGTGTGTTGCGTTTCAGCTCCGCGAAGGAGATGGGAGGGTGCTGCAGGTAGTAGAGGAGAACCTGGACCTGCAGGGACAGAGGGAGAAGGGAGTCAGGGCTGGGCTGGAGCAGGCCCGGGGCAGAGCGGCCAAACCCGTCCCCCCTGCAGCTCAGCAGAGCCTTCCCGTGGGGAAGCTGGGGAGGGGACATAAGGGTGATGCCGCCCCCAGGCAGAGCGGAGCCGCGATCCGTGGCAGCTGTTTACGCAATGGCGGCCAGAGGCCCCAGGCTGTACACGGGAAGGCTAAACAAAGCAGCACTAGTCACAAGTGGGCTGCTGCGAGGGGCACCCAGAGCCATGGTCACCGACCCACAGCTCGGCCTGTAGCCCCAGAGCCCAGCCCACATGCAGGCAGCACCTGGCTCTGCAGCTTTTCAGTCTCCGCGTCGGGCAGAGGCAGGACATCAGGGGCCTTGCTGGGAGACGCCAGCACCATGACACGGAGAGACGGGCGACCGAGGCAAGGTCACCGGACACATCCAAGGTTAACCGCCCGCTGGGGTCCCACAAAGCCAGTGCAATGGTGCTAGGCCTGCCCTTGCCCCCACATCCTGCTGGGAGCCAGGAGACTGCGCCCGCTGGGCAGGGGCAGAGCTCTGCTCCGACACCCGAGGGGAGGGGGCTGGACAGGTGTGAGCCGCACAGCTCCCGGCAGCCAGCTGAGCGAGGGGCCAGGGCATGGCCCAGGTAACGTGCAGCTGGCCCCAGCAGAGGGCGCCGCCTCCCCAGGGAACGGAGCCAGGGCGGGGTCGGCCCGTACCTGCGCCATCACGTCGTGGGACCAGATGTCGGAGGCCAAGGTGAGGTGCCCTTTGCTCTCCACCTCGGAGGGTCTCAGCAGTGTCGGGCCAAAGACCGTGGCCAGGTTGTGCAGGGACATTTTGTTGACTGGCTCCTTTTCGGCAACCCTGCGCGGGGAGGCAGGAGCGGGATCAGTGCTCTGCGGCGC